CCTCGTGGCAAGAATAAAGCTCCGCCGCGCGGAGTGGACAGCGTGCGGGGCACGCGAGGAGGCCAGCAGGGCGGGGAGGGGGGGCTCGCTCGGCCTTTCCCTCCGGGCCTGCTGGCCCCTTACAGAGCAGAGCCTGGGTCCTCGTTGCGACCCGCCTGGCACCAGGGAACAGCTGATCCCAGGCCCTTTCCCTGCCGCCGCTAATCCGCGCCCCCTCCACTAACCTGCGGATTTAGGGATGTGCCAGGACCAGGTCACTGTTCCCGGGAATGGAAGCGGCGGGCCGGGGAGTCACTGCCAACTTTTCGTGGCATGACGGGCCCTACCGATCTCGGTCTGATGGTGCTGCAGCCACTGCACAGTGTCGGGGGGGACGGGGGGGGACGGTGCTGTTGGAAATCTATTGGACACGAAATGTTTCCCTATTTTCGAGCATAAACTGCACGCATGAAACTCCCACCGAGGAAAGGTGCCTCGCGGGGAGAGCGGGAAAGAACCCCGTAAAGTTCGGGATTTGTGGATGGAGAAGTGCCAGGTACAGGCCGCAGAGACCGGGCGGAGGGGCCGCTCCCCCGCCAGCAGCAGGCTGCACGGGAGCCCCCAGTAATCCCTGCTTTAGGCGGGGGGCAGGCACCTGGCTGCCGTTTGCCCGGTTCATTAGGATTCCTTCTGCGGGTCATTATTGATAAGTTTTCTCTCAATAAGCAGAGTCCCTACAAGGCCAGGGGAGCGGTGCCCGGTGAGGCTGGGCTGCGGGCCGCCCCGAGCTGCTCCAACCCGCTCTTGCACTTGGCCTCCCCTTGTAACGCTCCGGGTCCACGTATTTTCGATTTGCTCCTTCTACAAACTGTTTAGAAATGACTAGTACCGGATAAGTAAATTGCGAGTAAACCTAGTGAATTAGGATGATTCTCTATCAGTTTAATTTATGTTTTATAGTTAGTTTAGCCTTCTGATTTGATTGCCTTAGTAATGTGAATTGCCTACAGCTGCTGATGATACAGCTTTAATTCTGTTTTAAAGGTCATGTAAACATGTGCCTGTAGCAGAAGGAATGCAAATTCAATTCCCTTTTAATGCTTCCTCACATTCACTTGCAGCCTTCACCTAGAAAATTAGCAGGATTTAATATAAAACTGTTTTAATGTTATGATTTCATTAGACTCCTCTTTCAATGCTCTCCTCTTCCTTTTTTCAGGCAAGGGGCCACGAAGTCTCCCTGTGCTTTGCGTTGCATTGCTTACCACGTGCAACACGCAGCACCAGTCACAGGCGAAAACGTTGGGGCTGAGATCAATAGACTTTTATACAGCTCCTTTTACCAATAAAGCTTCATTAACTTCATGTCGAGCTTTGCTTGGCTGTAGGGAAACGACCTAACCCCGGACCGAAAGAATCCAGCACATTCTTGCCACAAAGGAGACAGAAAGTGATGCAGGTGCATACTTGTTTCAGCTGGTTGTTTCCTTAATATAACAATGGAAGGGGGGGGGACTTGATTTCAGACGAGGTTGACTTAGCAGTGGGATGCATCCCCTTTCCAATTAGTAGCAAGAGAGGCTGTGTGAGGACCCCGAGGTAGTGGGTGTGAGCATAAGTTGCCTGTGCCTGAACGGCCGGGTTTAAACCCAGCCCAACTTTTGCGA